AGATCAAGACATCATAAGATAGAAATAGCGATCAAAGTCACCAAATTGTCTAAATTCTTAGACTTTTTCAGACTCCTCCCAAACCATGTGACTAACTTTGTTCGATGCTTTCCAAAGATGAAAGACAAAGTAAAACAAGAAAATATTTCTGGGACAGGAATTAAGCCTAACTATTTAGACATTCAGGTCGAATACCAGGGCTTCTCAATTCAATACTCAGACCCAGCTCTTGACTGCAGCATCCTGCTAATGCAGACCCTGACAGTACTGATGATGGATTAATCAAATCATTTGGGTATTACCACCCTCCAGGGAGACCTGGATTGGGTTTCTGGCTTCCCACTTTGGTTCGGCCTAGCTTTAGTCGTTGCGAACATTTAGGAAATGAACAAGTGGATGGGAGCTCATTTCCAATCTCTTTGTGTCCCTCAAATAAAATAAAAACCCTTTATAAGAGATTTCCATATACAGAAAGAAGGGTTTGTTCTAACCTTAGATTCTATTCTTTTCTTGCCAACCTGAAAGCAAAATGAAGAAAGATTAAAAAATATGAAATAAGCTATAAAGAACTTGAGAAGTGTCAGTTATGGTAACAGAGAGTTCCAGATAATTAGCTTGAGGAGTCAGCACCACTGAACTCTTGTCTTTTTCACTTTGAAAAATGGAGAAAAACAAACATTCCTAGCAGCCATTAAGTGTGTTTAGAATAACGGAGTGGGAGGGAGGAGAGAGAATAAAACTCCAGCCATTCAAAGTGTGGAATGCCCAAAGATGCTGTTTCCTGTAATTTTTAGAAGTTATAGAAGACCCTATAATTGAACAGTCGACTATTCCATTCACTCCTGGAGGGAAAGGAAGCACACCCAAAATCAGAGGACTATTATTGCAAATAAATTAGGTGTTCACTCAATGGTTATCGATGTTCAAAGTACAAGTTGGTATTCAGGACTCTTTAAGCATCTCAACAGGTACAGAATAAAGAACCTACCAAACCACTGATTAAGTCTTTCTAGACTAAGTCACTTGATCGATGAGATGTAGGAATTGATGGAATTTCTCATATTTCCATTATAAACAAATCTCAATCTGGTACAATGCTGAGAGATTCAAAACGAGAACAAAATGGGAAAAGCTCAATCTGTTTGTGGCTTACTGTGGCCTTCTAGAAGCACTGTACTCTCAGCAGTTTCCTGATTAGATCAGTTTCTCTGATTACCTAACAGCTTGCTTTAAAATACTCAATTAACTCTAAGAACTAGATTCTAAATTTTCTGTGCGTGCATTAGAGAGAGGGACAGGCAGACATGTGCTGGTTCACTCCTCCAATGCCCACAATATCCAGGTCTGTGTCAGGCCCACATCAGGAACCTGGAACTCAATCGGTGTATCCCATCTGGGTGGGCAGGGACCTAAGTGCCGAATCACCACCTGTAGTCTCTCAGGATCTGCATTATTAGCATAGTGAGCTGGGATTAGGAACCAGAGCTGGCAATGAAACCCAGGCACTCCAATATGGGAGGGACAAGGTGGTCTTAACCCCAGTAGGCGAAATACTCATTCACAGTCTAAATCTTTCGAAGAGGAGGCTTACTGGAATCTCTTATTGCCCCTCCATAGCTATAGATTTTGGTTGTTGTTGTTTTGATTTGGTTTGGTTTTTAAGTTGTTACTGTTCTCTTTGTGTGGTTTGGATTTTTGGTTGTCTTTCTGGCAGGAATACTATCATTCTTTCAGTGTTTCGGCCATCAGGCTCCAGCAGCACACAGCTCTTTCCAGTTCTGGCTTTTGGTCTCCTCACTAAACTGGCCTGTGTTGAGAAGGCTGCACTCCTTCCCTTTCCTGCTCCCCTTCCTCTTCTCTCCTTGGCATCTCCTCCTCTAGCAAAACTTTGACATGAACTAAAGAAAACCTCTTTCTCAACTCCTCATTACTCAGTCTGCCCCAGCACTGCATCTCCAAGATATTTTATTACACACCTACCTTTATAATCCTCAGCATTTTCGTGTCTGACAAGTCTGCTGTCATCAGATTCACAGTCTGCCACACAGTAGGTGCCATCATTTGAAAGTCCCTTCCCAAGCTCCTGTTGAAATGTTGTCGCCTTTGTGACAGTGTGAAGAGAAAGAACCTTGTGAGGTGATTAGGCCAGGGTCTGCTCTGCTCTCATGCCTGAAGGAAGTGGTCATCTTGGGAGTGGGTTAGTTATTATGGGACAGGCTTTGTGATCAGAACAATGAGTTTGGCACAATTTTCTCCCTCTCACATGCTTGCCTGTCCTCCTGCCACACTATAATGCAACATCTGGCCCTTTCCAGATGCCAGCTCAATGCTCTTGTACTTCCCAGCCTACAAAATAGAAAGCCAAAAACTTCCATTGGTAATAATGTACCCAGTCTGTTGCATTCTTCCATAGAAGGCAGACAATGGACTAAAACAGTGAGTACTCACGAGATTTGGAATGAATGTCTGAATGTTAAGTGGCTGCTTGTGGAGGAAAGTTGGTGGCAGTCAAGGATGAATGGCCTAAAGTGATCCTTTCTTAGGCCCACAGGCTGCTCACAGCCTGGACAGTGGGAATAGAGGTGCATGTAAGCACCAGAAGGGCATTCACTTCTAGCTTTCTCACATAAGCATAGGAAAGCAAAGAATTTAAGAGATGAACATTTCCTCTAAACTATTCACCATAAGACAAGCTCAATATACATTATTGGAAGTTCTCATTCTCCCACCACAAAGTTCTTACTAATGAATAGGATGAACTTCTCCCTGGCATTTCACAAGTTCAGTCTACCTTTTCAGCATTTAGTTTCACCTTTTAAATTCATGTGAATATGTCATTCCATAAAATGAACCTAACTTCCCAGTCCATACACAAACATATCAACAAAACTGGTATTCCAGAAGGTGCTTCCATGTTTGTTCCATAACTTCCCTTACTTTTCCAACTCTTAGTCCTTTCTTTTTAAGTAGTATAGAATCCAGGAACAGTGTTGCGGTGCAGTAGGTAAAGCCATCACCAGCAATGCTGATGACACTTGCAAGTGCCAGTTTGAGTCCCAGCTGCTGCACTTCCAAACTAGTTCACTATTGCACCTGAGAAAAGAAGCAGAGGATGGCCTATGTTCTTGGCATATTGTTACCCACGTGAGAAACTCAGAAGCTCCTGGCTCTGGCCTGGCTCATCCCATTGAGTCCAACTGGCAAGGTAAATCAGGTAAATTGCCTACAAGCGCCCGGCATCCCATATGGAGACTGGATCATGTCCCAACTACTCTACTTTGGATCCAGTTCCCTGGTAAGGAGAAAAGCAAATGTCCTTAGTGATTACACCTGTCACTTACGTGGGACACCCAGATGAAACTCCTGGTTCCTGGTCAGACCTGGCCCTACCCTGGCCATTGTATGGTGTGAAAGACCCTTCTGTCTCTCCCCCTAATTTTTTCAAATAAAAAAATAAATCTTTGGGTCAGTGCACTAGTTCAACAGGCTAATCCTCTACCTAGAGGTGTTGCTATCCCACATGGACACTACTACCAGTCCTGGCTGCTCCACTTCTGATCCAGTTCCCTGTTTATGGCCTATGAAAGCAGGAGAAAGCGGCCCAAAGCCTTGGGACCCCCACACTCACAGAGGAGACCCAGAAGTAGTTCCTGATTCCTAGCTTCAGATTAGCCCAACCACAGCTGTTGCAGCTACTCAGGGAGTGAACCAGTTGATGGAAGTTATTTTTGTCTTTCCTTTTGTCGATACTGTTTTCCAATAAAAATAAGTAAATCTTGTAAATAAAGAAAGCTTTGAGAAAACAACACTATATTTAAGTGTTCCCTGTGGTAGAAAAAGTAATTTGGTGATCTAAGTTTAATAAAAGAATAATAAAGTAAGGAACAGCACATCTAGATAAAGGCATATCAAGCAAAATATCATATAGTCATCAAGTAAAGTGAGGTAGATCACTGCCATATGTTCATGAATGTTCCCAGATAAGAAAGGGTGAGGGAGGGAGGGTTAGAACGAAGAAAGGTAGGGGAAAAAAAAAACCACACATTCTTAGAATTGTTTCTACAAGTTATATCAAATATCTTAAAAACTAATTAAATTTTTTAAACAGTTAAAGAAATTTTAAAATCAAATCAAACACGGAGCAGGTGTCGTCCTGCTAAGTAGAATCATGGGGTGTATGTGGATGTCTACATTTGTACAGCATGTCTCCACAAAGAGACACTGGTGGTTGCCTCTGACAAAGGCAGGGAGATTTGCTTTTGACCATATTCGTTCTTACATTAAATTTTTTCCCACATAAATTTTTAAAAATTAATCTTTCATTTCTGTGTTCACACAGAGACTTTTAAAACAAAAGCTACCCAGAGGAAGTACAGCCAACAGAAAAGAGGAAGGGCGAAGCCTGGCTTGTCCTACCCACCCAGCCCACGGCTTCCTGTGCCACAGGCAGCAGGCTCAGGTTCATACTCTCCCAATACAGCCACCGGGCACTTTCTTTAGAGAGGAGAGACATCAAGACTGGAGAAGCAGCAGCACTGGCAAAAATGCCTACACATTCCCAGCAGTCTCCAAATTCCATCTTTGTGAACTGAGTTTTCAATGACTGCTCAGCTTGCAGCCATTACTGTCTTGTCCTTACACACCTTAAGAGATCATCTCTACCCATATGCAATTCCCATAATCACTTAAGAGATCTTCTCTACTTACATACACCCCACATTCACAAAGCAACAGGCTGCAAAAACTGAGATCAACGGAAATCGGTGTGAAAGACTTTTCTTGCACCTTGATACCAACCATGGGTGTGTTATGGACAGTTAACTCCAGGAAAGGAACAGTTGCATGCTTTGGCCCAATTGGCTGATTTACTCGGTGATGAGGTCCTCTGGTGGCATAAAAGCATCATCAGTCCCACAGCAACTCAGGAAGCATTCCCAGGATTTAAAGAAGCACTGAAATGAGACCACCGTCCAAGCCAACCCTCACAAGAAGGCGAGTCATTAAAGGAGTGAATGTTTATTTCTTTAGTGTTTAATAGACTACATAACAAGTCACATAATCACAGAGAGGAAACAGTATTTAGTACTTCCAGTATACAACAGGTTGTGAACAGGAAAAACAAATCTCTGGATGGCTTTAGTAACTCTCAAAATTTGGGCACATCTGAAATAACTTCATCAGCATCTTAAAAAAAGAAAGGCTTTTTTTCCTCATGTTCTGTTAGAAAAGTCTAATAAGCATAGAATAATCTTTTCCTCTTCCTTCTATTTAAGAAAATGGCCCATAAATATTTTTAAACAATTTCAGAATGCCAGACAGCTCTGTAGGACTCACCTTTAGCTAGCTGCCTGGAAGAAATTCATAATTTGCATTTTCAAAATGAGTAACCTATGTTGGATGTTGTAACCTTTTGTCAGTAAATGGTTACTAATGGTGGTCAGAAGTGATTATAAATGACCATCATTTTAATTCAATAACAATAACAAATTTACCTACCTTTAAAGTCACAAAGACAGTTGGTAATAGTTTTCATTACAATTAATGTCCACATACTCAAAACACATTTAGAATTTAAAACTTGGCTTGAAAAAAAAAAATCACAAAACACATAGGTGACAATTCATGGTCAACTAGTGCATCCTCCTATCACACAAGAGTACACTCTAAGATAGATATTCTGGTTGAATTGTTACTGCACTTCAAGAGCCCAGCAAAGATTTTAAATCCTTAAGTGTTCACCCTTTTAGATTTTTATTGCCCAAAACTGTGACAAAGAAAAGTTAGCTTCAACATAACCTGTTTCTAAATATAAGAAAGCCTTTTATGCAGTATAGATACTGTAAATAAGCATATTTTACTTACTATTCAAGAGACAGGCTTACAGCATGTAACAAAAGTTTTTAAGTGATTTATACTAAGGGAAAAAATAAGAAAATCCAAATAAAGTGTTGATTCTATTAACTTGATGCCATTATGATACAATAAAAATACTCAATTTACTATTTTAAAAACTCAAGCCAACGAACTCTTTGCAATCTAGACTATTAAAAAAAAGGAATTCAATCCCCCCAGCCAATATTTTCCTAAATGTGCTCTAATTTACCATAGTTCATGTAAGAGTACAAAAAGTGATTTGAGTATGATTTTAACTTACTATAATTTGAAGAGTACAAAATTATCAAAGCTCCACCTTGCATGTAGGAAATCCCAATAAAAACTGGAATATTTGACAAGCACTGCTAGTTGCCCATTGTGTCTATTCACACTTTATGTATTTCCTCAGAAGAGCTGCAGCTATCTTAAGGATGTGTGTGTGTGTGTGTATGTGTGTGTGTGTGTGTGCCTAACTTGAAAGAGAACACAATTGTAGCTACTTTTTACATTATCGCTTTGCTCTCAATCCCTTTCCCCTCCAAAAAAAAAAAAAAAAATGAGAATCACAATTAGCACAATTTCAGAGGGAAAATAATGCAAGACTCACACACCTTCAGTGAATATATTCCACAAGGTATTACTTGAAAACTCAGAGCAAGGCCCACAGTCTACACATATTAAAACATACAGAGTGTCCAACATGGTAGCTCTTGTTTTTAACCTGTTATTTTTAATTAAAAAATCAAATGTTATAAAAAGTTCAATGTCATATTCTTATATTTCTGAATGTCAAACAGTAACTGAAGCAACACCTGTCAAGGCATAACTCTGAGACGAATGTAGTCACAACCATCTGACAAACTGATGACATTCTCCTGTTACTGAAATGTCAACCCTCAGCACCCCATTTTCAAGCTCCCAGGTAATGACCAGCACCCCAACCCACACTGAAACCTCAAGGTCGGCTTCATAGCCTAAGCACATGGATGGGAAGACATTCAATAGTTTTCACCTCCAGTCATTTTATCTCAGGGATACCATATTCCCAATGAAAAATGAGTTCCTACCTAGCCCTCACTTCAGGCAAAAACCACAGAGCTTTCATTTAACAACTTCGGCTTCAGAGGGAGCAGTCAGTCCCAGAAAGAGAAGTTAGCTGTCCATAATCACCAAATTCTCAGCCTTCAAAACCACGTAAACCACACAGCTGTGCAGAACAGCACTAGCTCAGTGGGAGTGCCTGTGTACAGCTAATTGCAATCGTCTTACTCAACGTTCCCGAGAGCAAATCCTCCAGACCTGGGTGGCCCAGACAACACAGGAGAAGCTTCCCCTGACTCCTGGTGATGTGCAGTCAGCATGGAGGAATTCAGGATGATGAAGTCATGCCATCTGTTAGAGGACTCAATCTGCCCTAAAATGTTCTCAATCCGACAGAATGCCATGGGTGTTGGCGCCAAGTCCGGGTTGCTCACCTCTGACCCCGGAGTGACAACTCTCAATCATCGCAGGCTTGAAACACATGAAGTTGTGAGGCATACCCAAGCTGCAAACTAAACTCAGCATATGACCAAACACCAGTTCCTGGATTTCTGTGCTTCTGCTTCCATTTCCCTCAAAACTACAGTTTTTTGTGGGAAACAACTTTGCTAAAAATGGAACTCTAAAAAAAAAAAAAAGACCAAGTCTTCCCCTTTCTCAATAAAAAAAAAAAAAGCTAGTGGATTAATAATGCAGGTACTTTGTTTTTTAAGTAGACACCTAATCAACACTGCATCTGTTTACAATTAACATGCCAACCAAAAGAAAAAGATTGTAAGATTCGTTTTACAATCAGTTTTTTTCCCTAACACAATTTCCCAAGACCCCAAGAACAAGAATATATGACAAATGCATCAAACCTGTTTCTTTAGAGTGTACCTTATCTGCTGCAAGTTACTAGCGGGTAGGAAATTTGATAACATTAGTCAATGAATTGAAAAACTAAATGATTCATGTAAAATGTTCATATATGGTATACACAGATTGGAACAGATGAGTCTTAGAATAAAGCTGTTCCCATTTGAACATCTGTTATGGACAGAGTAAGAAAAGTACAAGAGTCATTAAAAAAAACAGCACTAAACAGTGAAAAGGACTCTTACAAAATCCCTAAAAACAAACCTGGGGGCGGGGGGAAGTGCTGAAACAAGCAAAAGGCTCCTCCGTGGTCACAGAGCAAAAGGACAGCTTCAGGGCCTGAGGCAGAATGGGGTCTGGCTCCCCTCCACTTCCGGGTATACACATGATATGCATGGGCGACTGACTCCATGTGCAGGGAAGGGGGTAAGGCAACCAGTTATCTTCCTGCTTGTTACATTTTACCTAAACCATCATTTTATTGCTCAGCTCACTTGGGAGTAGGCATCTGCCTTCACTGTAGCCATCTGCAGAGGGGCAGACCTGGTGCTGATCCTTCCGGCAGCTCTGTCCCTCCAACTTCACAGTAACTGCCTCAGAAAGTGGCAAGTTTCAGGTTTGCCCAGCAGTCAATATCTACAGGCATTGAAGGAAATAAGGATTTCTTCTTCTTCTTTTTTTCCATGAGCTCTTAAGTCTAAAAAGCCAAAAAGCAAACTTACTTTGCTCAAGTAAATATTCTAAAAACTGAGATTTATAATCACAAGGAAAGAAAAGTTGAAAAACTAAAACCCTACTGGGCAACTCTTTGGTTAGGTTGTATAACTATTCACAAATTCTAATTTAGGACTCAAAACAGATGAATAAACTGCTAGTTAAGAGTAGATCCATCGCTATTCTTTACCAAAAACAAAACAAAAAAATGCTTTGAGTATTTGCATTTACCATTCAGTATTTCCAAACGTGCATCTATTCAACAGAATGGAAAAACTCCCAACCATCAAATAATACATGAGTTTACACCTGTTCCTCCCTTCCCACCCTCTCTCCTACCTCCCCACCCCACCCAAAAAATTCTAGAGCGAAGAAAGGTGCTAACTACCACTCACCGCAAGAACAACTCTCCTAAAGCCCAGAAGCAGAGCCCTCTGCCCAGCCTCCTTCGTGGTCACCGACATGGCCAGGACAGTTCTGCTTCTTAGGCAGTGACATCCCACCACCCTCATTCCCTCCCTCCCTCTTGCCCCTATGCACTGCCTAGCCAGGGGAGGGGGAGGGGGGGCTCTTGTAATAAAGGGGCGCCTCCTCTGCAGGCGGAAGGGTCCACGCTCTGCGAAGTGTCAAGACCCTGCATTGGGCTAGGAACAGGAAGGACCTTCAACGTGGAGCAAGCTACCTGGGACTTTTGCAAACTTCACTGACAGTCCCTGAAGTACCTCTCTGCAATCCAGCTGAGTTCACCTCTAAGAGGGTCAGACACCGCAGTAACCTCTTAAAAAAAAAAAAGCAATTCTACCCTGGGGCACTGTTAACCCAGTCGGATCCCTTACACCGCACAGGAGTCCCAAGGGATCCGGGAGATCTCAAGGGCTCCACGACCCAGTGGACATGGTCCAATCAGCTTCCGAACTTGACTTCGGCCACTCCCAGGTGCACAGCGACTTGGGGCCCAGCTGGATCCAGAGGGAAGTACAAGCTGGGGGAGGGGTGGTGTGAGGCAGCGAGAAAGGAAGCACGGGATGGGTGGGGGCGTGGAGTGTCCCGGGGCCCCCTCTGCTAGAGGAATCCAAAAACGAAGCAGCCCAGAGGATGGATTTTCAGCCACAAATTCTGGAGTGGGTGGCGAGGGCAGTGGAAGGGTCTGGGCCAGGCACGGGACGGGAGACAAGGAAACTGCGGGGCCGAGGGGAGAGTCTGAGGGCTTTGGTCCGGGAGGAAGGGGGTGTTCCTAATCGTATCCTGGCTAGGAATAGGGGCAAACGTCGTCGGAGTCGCGAGGCGTCCTGGGAGCTCACTCCCTGCAGAAGACGTACTCGGTGTAGCTGGTCCAGATCTTGTCCTCGCTCTGGTCGGTGCTGCCGGCAAAGGCGCAGGTGCCCGTGGAGCTGCAGGCTACCATGTGGAAGCCCGACTCGGACAGCTTGTCAAAGGCCTGCTCCAGGAAGTTGAACTTGAGGTAATAACGCGACGTGTAGCGTTCCGGTGGCCGGTCAGGATCCCGGCTCTCGTTCAGGGTGTCCCCGAACACCTCCTTGGCCAGCGATGTCTTGCCGCACACGGTGATGCGCGCCACCCGCCGGAACTTGGCGTCCGCCTGTGCGTCCCGACCGATGGTATAGGAGCCGCGGTAGCCGATGGTGATGTAGCCCGAGCGCCGGCTGCCGTCCAGCGACTGGGACGGCGTGAGCAGCGGGCCCGCCGCGCCCCCGGACGGGCTGCGGCTGCCCGGCTCCAGAGTGGGCGACGGTGCCCCGGCCGACGCGCCCTCCTGCTGCTCGGGCTCCGCGTAGCCCAGAGCCACCAGCTCATCGCCTAGGGAGCCCTCCTTGTGCACGCCGCGCCGTGAATGTGGCGGCGGCGGCCCCGGGCCGGGCTGCTGAGGCGCGCCGAGGCGACGCACGAGCTCCGGCAGCTCAAAGTACTCGGCCTCTCGCTGCAGCCGGCTGCGTTCAGGGAAGTAATCGGGCAGCACCAGCTGCAAGTCCCGCAGGTAATCCAGGATGTAGCGGAAGAGGAAGCCGTCCCGGTCCAGAAAGAAGCGGCCTTTGCTGTCCCGGGCCAGCTCCTGCGGCTGCTGCTGCGTGAACATTCGCCAGAGCAGCGAGTCCGGCACCGACACCACAGTACAGCGCCGGGTCACATACACCTGGCCCCCCACGTTCAGCTCCACGATATCGGGGAAGAGGGGCGGCTCGGCGGAAGACGACGAGGAGCCGCTGCCGCCTCCGCCGCCTCCCCCGTTCGGTAGTCCTCGCGTGCTGTCCGCCAGAGCCATGGCCAGGAGGCGTCCCGGTTCCGGCTCGGGCTACGGCAGGGAGCCCGACTGTGCTTAAGAGCCGCAGCCGCTTTCCACCCAGCCCCAGCCCGGGACGCTCACTCAGACCTCGGCGCGGAGCCGAGCGCAGCTAGCGCACCCTTGTGCGCTCCTTAGAGCCCGGGCGCCCTCCGTCCGCCTCGCCCGCGCGCTCCAGGCGAGTGCCAGGTCGCGGCCCGCGCGCCGCTTAAGTAGAGCCGGCCGCCCGGGCGCCGCGGCGCGCAGGAGGCGTGGGCGGCCGCCGAGCGCCGCAGCCGCGCTCCCCCGGCGGGAGGGTGGGGCGAGCGCTGGGATCGATTTGCATCTTAAACGCTGACGCCGCGCGGGGCGGCCCGCTCCCCTCCCCGGCCGGCTCCCGCCCAACTTTCTTTCTGTCTCTGCAAGCAGAAGGAGCCCGGGACTGGCCGCGAGGCAAGTGGGCGCGTCTTGGGAGAAGCAGTTAGCGCTCCGATTCCCTTCCAGCCCCGGCGGGCCCCGAGGGCTCCGGCTGAGGGCCCTAACTTTCCCGCGTTCCCGCAATCCCGCTAGGCGAAAGGAACCGCCCGGCAGTCCCCGGAACCGGCCCATCCGAGCCGTGTGGCTGGGGCGCTGCGTTCGCCGGGTGCCTTAACTCCGCGAATTCTTAAACAAAAACCTGAAGAGAGAAGGTGGTGCCCCTCCCGGGATTGGATTCACGTTGCCTCGTCGTGACCTGAAAACAAGCCACCCTGAAAGCCACAGCCTGACCTCAGGGTCCTGCGCAGGACGCTCTCGGCGGGCTCATGCCTCGGGCATTAGTGCTTTTAGGGAACCTCCAAGTAGGAATTCCTCACCCACTCGGGCCACTCGGGGCTTGGGAGTAGAAAGGTTTGGCAAGGGTGTGATATGACCTTCTCTGTGCAATGCAAAGGCCACATTGAAAAGGGGTGGGAGCGGTGTTAGACCTTGAGTTCGTGCCTGTCTTTGCCAAAGGTGCTGGAAAGCTTGTGCAGCTCTGATTTTTGAGCCCACCTGTGTAGATCCTGCCAGAGGGCCTAACTGTCCCCCCAAACTTGTCATTCCCTTCAGCCCTGACTAGATTCCCTCCAGTCTCAAGGAGGGAGTTTGTAGAATCGACAGTATCTTCTAGAGCCCGTCTCAGATGGCAGGCCACCTCTCTCCCGGAAGGAAGTCTTCTTTGCTTTCCCAAGTGGGTGGGGCCTCCTGCCTCCATGTGTACTGCCCATTGCCCCACAACTGTGAAGCACATTTATAGATACGTGCACCTGAGCACTTCAGGAAACCAAGTAGAATGAGAAGAGGACATCGGGTCATTGCATGTTTGCTGGGCACTTATGTTTGCTGCTGAGGAGAAAAAAAATCTTCCATCCACTAGCTCACCCTCCAAGTAGCCACAATGACCAGAGCTGAGCTGATCCGAAGCCAGGAGCCAGGAGCTCTTCTGGGTCTCCCGCATGGGTGCAGGGTCCCAAGGCTTTGGGCCGTCCTCAACTGTTTCCTAGGCCACAAGCAGGGAGCTGGATGGGAAGCAGGGGCACCGGGATTAGGACTGGCGACCATATGGGATCCCAGGATGTGTAAGGTGAGGACTTTAGCCACTATGCTATTGTGCCGGGCCTGATCTTCGTTCTTGATAATCATGTTTACCATTTTGCTTACCCACCCAATGAGCTTTACAGTCTCCTCACGGATAAGTGTCATTTTCGCTTCCAAGTGTTTGTCTGCTGAGCAATTATCATGCTCGTGTCAGTGTGCTGAAATAAGCTCATGCCCCAAACAGGCTTGCTTAATTGCAAGGACAGATCTTGATACCAAATATACTTCCCCACTCTTTCCTTGTTCTATTCTTTGGGATAAATAATAGATGACATGAAAGTTCCCAGCTCCACTGCTGAGTTTCTAGGCATTTGTGCTATTTGTTGCATCAGTGCCACGGGCCTGACAAAACCAGTCTCTTCTGCAAATCCAAGACAAATCTTGTTTGTGTCAGTTCTGAGCATGTTTTTGCCTCAATACTTAGGGCTCTGTCTCAGCAAACCCCATCAGCTGTGCCTTCAACAGTGCTTGCAGATAATCAACAGGTCCCATCGTCTTCCTTTCTCCAGCCAGGACCAAGCCAACCACCCTCCTCCCTCCAGCTTGGATGATTATACGGCTCTCCTAACTGCGTCACCCTCAGCCACCTGGGCCTTGAAGCACCAGAAGAAAAAGAGGGACCAAATAGGTCACTCTGCTCAACGGACAACCAGTGACTGTCTGTCTCACCCAAAAGCAAAAGCCCAGGTTCCTTTCATGGCTGGCAGCAGTCCAGGTGGTTGTAGCAGCCCCACAAGCATCTCCTGTGGTCTCCTGGGAGCTGCTGGCACTAGCCACAAAGCCTCCTTTCTCTTTCTTCGGGGCCTCTGTCATTCCTTTTCCCTTTGTCTAAGAGATGCATGGCCCGTCCCAGCCCTGCCTCCAATGGCTTCCTCATGTTGTTTAGGTGCTTCTCCAGACTTTCTGCAGTTGGTTGAGGCATGCTCATTTCCATCTCTGCCCCCATCCCAGTAGCTTCCCTTTCCCTGCATTAGGAAGTCAGCTCTGAGAAGTCAAGTTCTGAGAATTTGATCTGCTTACTTCATTGGTACATCCCCAGTGCTGAGAATTAGAGCTGGCATATGGCAGGAACTGAACAAAGCCCATTGCTCATTGATTTTTTTTTTCCACCAGTATCCTTCCGGAATCTGCTAGTACTAATGTTCTGGGTAGCAATAAATAAATAAATAAATAAAATAATAATCACCCTACCATCTACAGCTGCAGTCTTACAGAGGAGATATAATATGTAGACATTTACATAAATATTAGTTTAAAAAAAATCCCTGAGGAGTCCTGCGGGATGAGCCTGTAGAAGGACAATTAAACAAAAGGAGTTGGGTCAGGAAGGAGCTCAGCCTGCCTCACTGCGTCATCTTTCAGTATCATCCTACGACCCTCCAAAGTACTCGTAAAGTGATCACTTGAGTACAAACACAATGTGAGGGACACCACATGCTTATATACAAGAGTGCATGACTAATGGACCCGGCCTCCTGACATAACATGCACAAGCAAGTCTACTGCAGAAAAGTCCTCGGAAACCAGTCCTTATGGAAACCAGGTTGTACATGAGACACGTGTTCATGAATGAAACAGTGATGATTTTTGTGTACCTCATTTCTGGCATATTGGATGGGGAAAATATAACTGGAGGACTCCGATGCTGGGGCTCAGGGGCCTGAGTGTTTATGGGGGAGGAGGGAGTCATAACTCAAGGGTCCCCAGTATGTTAAATATGCTCACCTGGACGTGCTAGCAAGAATCGTGGAAGACCACTATCATAGCATTTAGTCTCTATCCAGCTTCTAGTGCTAGGCACATTCAGAATTACTTGTCCCTTTCAAGGGACTGTTTTTCTAAATAAGAAATAGTGTGCCCTTCAAATACATTGTCCCTTGATCCCAAAGTTTAGGATAATGGAAACCTCACAGGACCTAAATACTCTGCTGTATCTCCTCATCCACCTCCTACCAGCTTCCCACCCCGCCTTACACCAAAGCACCCAGTCCATGTCTTGCACACCACAGATTTGAGGAAAGTAAGGAAGAGTGTTGAAAGAACTAGAACATTTAACAGGAGGAATAACGAAGGTGAAATGAAGCAAGGGCCTCTGAGGACTGAATGAGGCTGAGCTGTGTGAAAACGACACAGCAGCTGTAAAACACTATTCAAGTGTCAGAATCATTCCTGCCCACGACTAACCCCGGCACCTGCCAAGCCTGCCCAGCATCTCCTGATTGAATATATGAATGTGATGGGTAAGGAGGGGGAGAGACGCAATTGTAAATTGTCCTGAATCAATGTTGTGTACGTTTATCATCCTCCCAATATGCATGAATCTTTTCTGGGAGTGGGCTTTAAAAAGCATTGGCTTTCTGGATTCAGAGGGAAGAAATAACTGGCTACAGGCTTTAATTAAATAACATTCAGTTTAAATAGCTCAGAGGTCAAAATGATCTTAGTGAACATTTGGTTAAAAAAAAAAAAAGTCAATATCTAATTCTAAGAAAAAAGAGAGAGCCTATGTTGGACCTAAGGGTTAAGGGACAGCAAGTAGAGCTGCCCCTGCAATGTCAGCTTCCCATGTGAGGACTGGGCCATGTCCCGCCTGCTTCATTTCTGAAGATGGCCCTCCACCGTCTACACAGGAGACCTGGATGCAGCTCCTGACTTTGGCATGGCCCAGCAATGTGGTGGTTACAGTCATCTGGGGGGTTAGCCAAAAGATAAAAAAGCTCTTGTTGTGTCTCCCTCTGTCTCCCCCACCCTCCTCCTGCAACTGAGTCAAAATAAATACATCTTTTTTTAAAAATCCAGTTGGTAGGTCCGCAACTCACAAGCAAATACCTGGCTTGGATTCCTGGCTCTGGCCCTTGAGTCCAACTTTCTGCCAGTGTAGACCATAGGGCAACAACAAAAATGGCTTAAATAATCGGGTTCCTGACTTTCCTGCCGGCTATGTGGGATGCCTAGATTGAGTTCCGGGCCTCAGACTTTCTCTCCTTCAGCACTGTTGGGGACATCTGGGGAGTAAACCTGCAGATGGAATCAACCTCTCTTTACATTCCTTCTCTCCTTCAAGTAAATAATTAAAACAATTTTTAAAAGAGAATTGAAAAACCATTATTTGAGGGGCTAAAGCCGTGACATAGCTGGTTGTCACTGTCTGCAGTGCTGGCATCCCGTCTGGGCACTGGTGTCCTGGCTGCTCCAGTTCTGATCCAGCACCCTGCTAATGCTCTGGGGAAAAGCAGCAAAAGATGGCCCAAGTATGTGGCCCCTGCCTGGCTCCGGGCTCACCCAACTTTCTCTCTGTATCTCTGCCTCCCTCTCTTTCTCTGTAGCTCTGACAGAGAGGAAGATCTGTCTGCTGATTCACTCTTCAAGTGGCCGTGATGGCCAGAGCTGAGCCAATCCGAAACTAGGAGCCCAGAGCCTGTTCCAGGTCTCCCACGTGGGCGCAAGATCCCTCCTTAGACTGCTTTCCCAGGCCACAAGCACGAAGGAACTAGATGGTAAACATGGCCACAAGGATTAGAACTGGCACACATATGGGGTCCTAGCGCATGCAAGGCAAGGACTTTAGCCACTAGGCTACCATGTCAGACCCATAAATAAATC